TTATCTATTGATTTACCAATTTAGAATCATTACTATTATTCCTCAAATATAAAAAAAAAAGCAAACGTACTACTATTTCATTTTTTGAAGTGATCCCCACTATTATTCACAATTATTTATGTAAAACGAACGATTTAAAAAAATTACACACAATTTATTAGGAACGTTAAAGCGACACCGAGACAAGATTCGATTCAGGATATTTAGAATGACATTACATATATGGATCTTCTCTTCTCTGTATTTTTTTAGTATTTATTTTTCAAGAAAAAAAAACTTGTCTCTCTTTTTTTTTTTTTTATGTAAATTTCTTTGTTTATCAAAGGGCGGAGTGGGACTTGAAATGGCCCAGTGTAGATATGAAGTTAGGTTTCTTATTATAAAGGAAGCTTCTATCGTTTTATTACATATTGGCCAAGTTTTGTGCGGTGCAGATAAATGAATGAGGCTCAATCTCACTAAATAATAACATTACTTTAACCTTAATGATGAAGGAAAGTTCCAATATCCTCCTCATCTCTTTTATAATCAACTTTAATACTTTATCTTGTTTCCCCACGGGTTAACCTGTCAACAAAGAAAAGGGACACGTATCTTTATTTTATTTTTTGGTAGCTCAAACTTTCTGCTAATTATTTTATAGCATAAGTGATGGTCAATTAAATCCAAACAGTGATAGATATTATATAATTAAGAGAAAAAAAAGATTTATGATTTAGCATTAACTGACTATGACGTGAAACTTACGTGTAGTCTTGGTTTGCATGATTGCATCCCCCTATACGACGAACAAATAATAAACGCGTAGTCTTCACCAAAAATAAAATAAAATGCACTTGGCTAAGAAAGACTTGGTCCTCGGAGGAAACAACGGGACGTATTGACACATGGAGAGATTTGGGGTTTGTTCGGTCGTATTTTTGAGTTATGATGACTTAAGTATAGATCTTAAATTAAATTTGAGTTATAATTTGAGTTGAAATTGTAACTTGAGTTTGTATTTGGATGTACACATTTGAGTTATGATTTGAATTAAAAATTTATTTGAGTTTGTGTTTGAGTGTGTCAAAACTTGAATTTATATTTAGATAGTATTTTAATAAAAACTCAATGGTGATGAAAAATTTTAATATGGTATATGAGTGGAGTTTTATTCGTCTTTTCGTTGTGAACGCATAAAAAAATATCTCAATCGGAATTAAAACGAAAAAGTTATGACGTTTTTAAGAATAAAAAAAATATTATTCATTAACTTGAATTTGAGTTTAAGAACTTGAGTTGAAGAGGAAACTTGAACTCAGATTTTAGCCTCAAACTCAAACTCAAATTTTACAAACGAACATGAACTTGAATAAAGTGGGGACTGTTTGGCAGTTGAGTTTTTGAGTCAAAAACTCAAAAAAAGCAACTCGAGTTACAACTTTATTCAAGTTTATGCTCTTTTAAGTTTGAACTCTTGTTTGGGCCTAAAACTCGAGTTCAAGTTTTCCCTTCAACTCGAGTTCAAAAACTCGAACTCAAATTAATGAACAGTATTTTTTCTATTCTTAAAAATGCTATAACTTTTTTGTTTTAATTCTGATTGAAATAATTTTTTTTTCTATGCGTTGACAACGAAAAGACGAATAAAACCCTACCCATATACCCTATTAAAATTTTTCATCACCATTGAGTTTTTATTAAAATACTATCTAAATACAAATTCAAGTTTTGACTCACTCAAACACAAATTCAAAAAGATTCTTATCTCAAACCATAACTCAAATGTACACAACCAAACACAAACTCAAGTTACAACTTCAACTCAAGTTATAACTCAAAATCTACACTCAAGTCATCTAACTTAAAAACGGCAAGAGAACAAACCCGTTGTAACTTGAGTTCAAACTTTTCTTGAGTTTTACTCCGAAAGAACAAATTCTTGATTACTCGTGTCCACAAAGACGAAATTATATTTTATATACATATATATAGACCAATTTTTAATAATTATTATTTTTATTAATAATTACCAAAAATAGAAATTTAATAGACTGTTATGCTACGGTAATTCTATCATCACTAGTGATAAATAGATTTTTTTTTTCAAATAAATAAATAAAGTGCTCGAAACTAGTGTTATGAGAAAATTGCATACCACCAGTAAGTACTAACATGCATAACCCATATGTAGCAAAAATGATGAAAATTATGTATGTAAGAAACCATTAGGGATAAATAATTCAGCACCTCCAAAGGCCTCGAGGTTTATTTCTGTTACAAACTTAGGAAACTCTACAATCTATTCAAAAAGAGAGTGCTCAAGAATTGATTCCATGTTTTCTCCTCCAAAGATTTTTCATTGTAAAGTGCGTAGAAAAGCTCAAAATAAATCTGAGTTCAAGAATGGCCTATTCACACATCTACACTAGCGCTTTCTAATTTCTCCAACAATGCTCAATCAAGGAAGCGCAAAATAAGCAAAACGCAGAGCTAAATATTCTTAGCAACCACTGTTACAACAAACTATAACTACCAACCCCAACACTATGAGTACTCCAAATAACGAAATACCTATAAAACCGTATGATTGCCATTTCCTTTACAAATCAAATTTGGGCTCTATGCTTTGTTGACTTACCGTCTTTAGCACTTCCATCATGATATAGGCCCTCGCCCTCAGACACCGTCAATACTACCATTTTACCCGTTCAAGCATTTTGTGAAATTTTCGCAAAGAATGAACTAGAAGAGGCTATAATTGTGCAAAAAGAATTTCGTTCCACATATCTGGAACACCTGGTAGACACCAATGCAGACAATCCGATGCCGTGGAGTTGGGTGGTCCTCGAAATCGGGATATATGAGCCTCGTCCCTAAGCTTGGAGAGACCCGTTATGTCCAAGAGCTTTACCCTTGTTCCCTTGACTGCGGAAGCGGCGACAGGATCACTAGACTCGTCTTCTACAACTTCCTTGCCTATTGACATCGGAGTGGTATTGTCACAACTACCCCCTGTGTTCCACTCGCCACCAACAAAATGCCTAGGTGAGATGCTACGGTAAAAGACTTTCAAGTCTGGATACTTTGGAAACTGTGAGTTCGCCCAATTGATGACAGTGTGAACTGTCAGGTTTCTAGCCTTCCAAATTTCTTGTAAATTCTTGTCCGTGTTTAGTGCACCACCGACATGCATTATCCAACGGTTCGCTTTAAGTTTTCCGCGATTCCAATGGTGTGCGGTGTTCAGAACCAAGACATTAATTTTGTGGATATTTTGGCTTAAGAATGCATCAGGTCGATCAAGGTGCATCGCATAATCTGTGTCTTGATTTGTCTTGTTCATAGGCTCTATGTAGCAGAGGCTTGCTGACCAGTAGTAGATTATGGTGGTATTGGTGCTAGAAAACCGTAAAGCAAGCCCCTGAGTGCGGGCATTACCATGGGCTTGAGCAATTCCGTACTCCTCACCAACATCGACGATATCATCCCTCTCCTTACCGCCAGTGATCATGCACATTAAAGATTGGAACTGCTGCCTGCCCAATGAATCTCCGACAAAAGCAAGAGTTTTGTTTTGCATCCTGTATAAAAATAAAATCATATTGATACATATTTTTGGCTACTCCAAAAGCAAATGAATAACCAAAGAAAGAATGTGGAAGTAAAAGGGGAGGCAAAACAAGTGGAAATGTAAGCCAAACCAAACGAGGTTGTAGGTCGGAATGGTGATAACCATGGGCATTCAGAAGCATCGAACAAAAAGTGTATGTTCTCTTAAAGGTGGAACAGATGGACCATAAAGACATGCATAAAAACAACAAAAGTGTTATCACTGAAACCACATCCCCAAGTCTTTTCGGGTGACAAAACCCTGTGTCCCTCCCACTGGTTAAAGAGAGTTTAAACGGAAGATACCACAGAACTTAATTGAGACTAATTGAGTAATAATTTGAGCATTGCACAAAAGGTAATCAAGGACCAAAGATAATTCCGTGAGGCTAGGGCAGACAAACGAATAATAATAATAATAACAACAACACCAATAACAATAATTATGGAGGAAATAGGCTGAATTCATTGATTTTGACTTCCATCAAATATATGAAACTCTACCGTTATTATAACTTCCTTAAAACGTTCAAAATACCTTTTCAAGAACTTGGAACCTTCAAAATTTTCCAGTTCACAATCTTTTGGTTGCCACCGGAGCTTCTCATAGGCAAAATCTGTACGACGCGTCAATCGGCAAGCCCACATCCATGAGAGCCATTGCTTACAGCCGAAACCAGAATATAAAGACTGGTTATGGTCTAAAACCCATTTTCCTTTAGCATAATTGCAGGCTAGATTAAGATTAACAGAAAAACAAAACACAAAAAGTTCATCAGTGTTCTTTCAAAAAAAAAAAAACACATATATTGAAGCGACTCTTACATCGACTAATTACTACATCATGCAACTAACTGGAGCAATATGGAACATGGTGCAAAAGAAATCATATCACTATTATATTTAATGCAGTAGGATTGATTGATAAGAATCCCGCTAATAATACAGTTAATATCACTTAGTTACCAGTGTGTTCAGGAAACCAATATCATTATCATATTACCAGGCTGCTATATGCATTACGTATTCAAGTTCATGAACTGCTGTGGCAACCAAAAAGAGCGTGCAAACACCAAATAAAGCATCTCTTGGGATTTCAGCCATCCTCTTTAAAACTAAACAAAGATATATTGCTGAGATAATTAAGGTCGCTCTCCATACTTGGATTGCCAGTTTAAGCACACGAAAACATCCATCCTCAGAAAGACATTGGGAAAGAACTAATCTAGGAATATTCATTTAATTAAACTTTAAGTACCTTTGAAAAGTGCAAAAACCAAGCCACTCCTAGAAAATAAAATTTAGAAAAGGAGAAAACCTTGACTTGCATTATGTGCAGTCAAATTATCTTCATTCTTCCTCCCAAATGATAAATTCGCATGTGCAGAGCTAGTCAGGAACCAGAATCCCTTTTTTGTGATTTGTTGTAGTGAAGTATTTTATAAGGGCATGTTACTAACTTGTAAGTGGAGTGTATCTAGAAAGAGAAAGGTGTTGGAAACAAAAGGAATATGTTTATATACCTATTATGAAGTGAAATTAGAAACAATCGAATTCCCTTTCCAGAGTTTACCGACTTTAGGAATATAAATCCTACGAGCTTAAGTACTAAAATATACTTGTGCCTATAATTATTAGTTGAAAATTAGAGGCTACAAAAGTAATTTTGAATTTTATTCCAGAAGTAAGCGAAACAATACCATGGATAACTTAGGATTTGGTTTTCCTTTCCTCACTACCTACATCATGTGGCCCCCACTAAATTAGCATCCCTCATTTTGTAAGTAAACACAATTTCTCCCTTTCACTTTCTCATTCGTGACAAGTAAACATGTCCTAAATGTTTTATCACAAGAAAGCAAAGGAAGACAATTTCTTGCCATCATTCTCAATAAGGATTACCAATATATTGATACCTGTAATGTTGCTGCTTCGCAAAGATTTTTGTACAGAACCTCTTGGAGCTGCTGCTTTTTCAGTATCTTGGTTTCCAGCCTCTTCATTCTTTGTTCCTTCTTTTCGAGCCTCCCTATTTTTTGATCCTTTTTTTCCAGTCTCTTCATTTTCTGGTCCTCCTTTTCGAGTCTCTTCATTTTCAGTTTCTTCTTTTCTTGTTTCTCCCTTTTCTGTTTCATCTTTCCTGTTTCCTTCATTTTCTATCCCCCCTGTTCTAGTTTCTTCCTTTTCTGTTTGTTCTTTTCCAATTCTTTTAAATGCAATCGCCACTTCATCTTCATCCAAACCAACTGAAAGAGGACTCACCACAGTATCTGAATCATGAAAAGACAAATGGAAAATATATGAGAAAATAGTTACCACTGTTATTAATGCATATACCCCTTCCACAGTGCATACGTTGAAAAGAACAGCTAAACTTTCATGAAAAGATTAACTTAGTATGAGCTATCCTCAACCGGGCATTTATCTAGAAAACGCCCTTATGCCGTAGTTATAAGGTAGGGGCTCACATCCACAGAATATCCGCGGTTTATTACCAATCCCACCTAAAACTTCCTAGACTTACTTATAATCTAAACACCAATGCCATGTTAGTAACAAAATCCAATATAGCATGTCCAGTGGAAAGCTTAATATAGCATAGAGAGGCAAACCTTGATTTAGTTCCAATTGGCCTAGGCCAGGGAGTGTGCTAAAAAGCGGGGTTCTCTTCCATGTCCATACGAAAACGGTCGTGCACATGAGAAGAATGGTAACTAGAGTGAGTTCTTTAGTCCTCAATCCAGAGAAACCTGCTTTCATTCTGTAAGCAAAATAATTAAATAAAGCAAATGGCCATATTAAAAACCAACAGGAAAATGTATGCAAGTTGCAATAATAAATGGGTATTTTCTTTCTTTATTTCTTTTGTTTCCCAATCACAGAAAAAAAAAATGTAGGACATGAGAGAGCAAGGCTTATTCAACAGCTCATGTTATTGTCTAAACATATATAGATCAGGCTTTTAAACTGTAAAATATCTCATAATAAATGGGTTCTTCTTAAAAAAACAAAAACAACTGCGTCTCTCTGTCTTTTTTTCGTTTTTCTTAATCATAAAGCGCAGTCTGGGAAATGCAGAGAAAAATAAAAAGAGAACCAAGGCTAAATTTAGCAGTTCACACTATTGTCAAAACAAACAAGAGAAATCACGCATTAAAAACTTCTCAATTCACATTTCCTTCGAAAAATCGTCGATTATAATCAACTTCGGCAATGAACTCACAACCACAATTTTTTCAGAATCAAAGCGCAAATAAGCCTCCTCAAAACCATTCGTGATTCTTCATCAACAGAATGCGATGGCAGATCAATTATATACAAAAAAAGACAATAAAATAAAAGAAAAAAACAATGAACAATGAGCTTAAGATCGATCTGGGAAGAAAAAAAACCTGAAACAACAAAGCCCGAAAATTCACGAACCTCTGAAACTCCGGAAATGCACAAAAAAAAAAAAACAATAATAATAATTATTCTCGACAAGAAAGAAAAACAACAAATTCCAGAATCTCTGTAATAAATGCGACAAAAAAAGGCTGTAATTATATGTATTATTATTCCTATGGTGACAATTAAATATTTATATAACCTGATTTCCTTTTTTTTTTTTCTCTTATAAAGAAAGTCGGAAATATAAGCCGTACGGAGGACAAAAGCGGAAAGAAGTGAATCTATGAGGCTTTTCATGTCATTTTCATCAACCCGTTAAAACATAATTAATTTTATAACATATTGAGTCAATTAAATTATTGAAGGAAAGAAAAGAATTGCTTACTTAAATGGTTATTAGGTATTTTGGTTTGACGCTGATAAAATGGAAAAGAGGGCCATATAGTACTTATCAGTGAGCCTTGACTGAGCTTTCGAAAATGCTTAATCGGTGATCAATCGTTGTCGTTGGTGCGTCTACGCTTTTTTGGTTTTTGATAGAATTGCGTGTAAACTGATAATTAGGATGCTCAAATTTTTAGTGTCTTTTTTCCTTTTTTTTTGCCTTTCTGGTGTAATAACAGTATGAACTTTAATATCATTCTCAATTTATCTTTTGTATTTTGAGAACTTTCATTTTACCTTATAAATTTAAATTATTTTCACTTAATTTTTTTTTGTTAAAATTTTTGTTAAAAATATATATAAAAAAAAGAGAATAATACAATCACATATTCTTTTTATTTGAATATCTGTTAAGATTAAACAGATAAAAATTACATGACTATACTTAACTTCTTTTCGATTAATTTTAACAGAAATTCTCATAAAAGGCTTAAAGAAAATTAATTTAAAATTCAATAGGCAAAGTGAGAGATTTTAAAATTCAATAGGCAACCGAAAATGACCCAAAATTCAAGAACACCCCTAATAATAATCCTATTAAATATAATCAAAATTATATGTACAAAACTGACAAAATTAAATACACATCTAACGATTGTATCTATACAAATATGCTCACTTTGTTGATTGTTGAGATTGCACTCGTATTGTACCGTGTATAGAAGTTAACAGAATTGGGAAAATTGCTTCACTAATTTTCCATTGAATGAGAGAGAATAAATAGTACAAGACTGAATCAAAATTTAAAAAACAAATCGAGTAACTAAATCTATTCTAGGAATATTTTAATAACTAAATCTACCTATATCTAGAATATTACATATTTACAATTACAATATTTAAATTAAATCAGATTTAGAATATGATTCTCCAATATGCCCCCGCAAGTTGGAGCTCCGAGACGAGAGACCAATCTTGAGCAGTAACTGATGAAACCGTATGCGGGGTAAAGGCTTGGTGAGAACGTCTGCAAGTTGATCCGCAGAAGCAACATGTGTAACACAAAGATCACCATTCTGTACTTGTTCACGAATGAAGTGGTAATCAAGTGCAACATGTTTCATACGTGAGTGAAACACCGGATTAGAGCAGAGATTAGTGGCACCAACATTGTCGCAATAGATAACCGGTTTCTGAGTGGAGGGGAAGCCGAGCTCACCAAGTAGATTAATGATCCAACGCAGTTCAGCAGCAGTTGTAGCAATAGATAGATAATAAGCGCGCTGGTAGAAGTAAAATAATCTTTATTTCCAGCCCAGTCAGCATCTGAGTATGCATGTAACTGAAGAGGCGACCGACGATGGAGAACAATCCCATGATCGATAGTACCACATAGATAGCGTAGAATACGCTTTGTCGCATTCCAATGGTCACTCGTCGGACGATGCATGGATTGGGAGAGCTTGTTGACCGCATAGGCAATGTCCGGCCGGGTCAACGACAAATACTGAAGGCTGCCGACAATGGTATGAAACTCAAAAGGATCAGAAAGTGCAGCACCAGACTAAAGAGACAAGGTAGGTGTGGTCGGCAGAGGGGTAGAGATCGGTCGAGCATCCGTCATCGAAGTTCGGGCAAGAAGATCGACTATGTACCGCCTCTGAGAGAGGATGATGCCGAGTGGATGAGGAAGTACTTCAACGCCAAGAAAGTAAGTCAAGGCACCCAAGTCCTTGAGTAAAAACCGGTGAGAAAGCAATGTGATGAAGCGCTGAACAACAGACTCATTGTTGCCAGTGATGATAATGACATCAACATACACCAGTAGATAAATAATAACATCATCACTATGGAAAATAAACAGAGAAGTATCTGCAGTGGAGTTCAGAAAACCAGAGGTGAGTAAAAACTGTTTGAGCTCAGTGTACCATGCACGAGGGGCTTGCTTGAGCCCATAAATAGCTTTGCGCAGTCGACAAACATGGTTGGGATGATCAGTGTCACTGAACCCCTGTGGTTGAGCCATGAAAACGTCTTCTGTTAGAGTACCCTGTAGGAATGCATTGTTGACATCTAACTGACGGAGGCACCACCCGTGGCTAGTGGCAAGAGACATAACCAAACGGATAGTGGTTGGCTTCACCACCGGACTGAATGTATCATGGTAATCAATGCCAGGTCTCTGATGAAAGCCCTTGGCAACCAGTCGTGCTTTGTACCTATCAACAGAACCATCATGTAAGCGTTTGATTCTAAAAATCCACTTACAGCCGACAATGTTTTGAGCCGAATCAGGCGGAACTAATTCCTAAGTGCCGTTCCACACAAGAGCATCAAACTCCTCAGACATCGCTTTGCGCCATTTGGGGTCTTTGATAGCTTGGGTTACAGAGGTGGGTTCAATTTCCTGGGCTAATTGGGCAGAAAGAGTAAGTTTTTGGAGAAGTTTATGGATGTTGTTGCGGGAACGAGAGACAATCGGGGAGGTACGGCCAGTAGGGTGGGGTGGTGAAGGTTCGGGTTCTTGAGGTTGGGCCGGTTCTGTCGTGTTTAGAGAGGCCGAGAGAGTGGTAGTTGAGGACAGAGGGGGCTCGGCTAAAGGATTCTGACCGTGGGTAGGTGAGGGCCGAGGGATAGGCGGCACAGGGTTGGGAGTTGGATCCGCAGCCGGGGGTGCTGGAGGCGTGGCAGGAGTGGCCGAGTTGATGAGAGTGACCGGAAACCAAGAGGAAACAGTGGACTCATCAAAGCGTGGAATAAAGGGGTTGACACCAGACAAAGGAAATATTGACTCAACAAAACGAACATGACAGGAGTGATAGATTTTAGTGGTGGAAGGATCAAAACAGATGTATGCACTTTGAGTAAGTGAGTAGCCAAGAAATACACATGGGATGGAGCGAGGAGCTAGTTTATGCAACGAGTAAGGACGAAGCCATGGATAACACAAGCAACCAAAGACACGAAGTTTAGAGTAATTAGGAGCACACCCGAATAATTTGTGATATGGAGAGGACATCTGAAGTGTAGGGGTGGGAAGACAATTAATTAGATAGGCAGCCATGAGGAAAGCATATGACCAGAAGGTGAGTGGGAGAGAGGCGTGGGAGAAAAGTGCTAAACCGGTTTCAACTATGTGACGGTGGCGACGCTCAGAAAAACCATTGTGTTCCGGAGTGTGTGATGGTGATGTATGATGAGAAATTCCATGAGTGGCTAAAAAGGATGACAACCCCGTGTATTCACCCCCATTATCCGAGAATAGTGTAATGATTTTCTGTTTGAAGAAATTCTCAACTTGTGTTTTGAATTGGGGAAAAATCAAGCTAACATCTGATTTGCGTTTGAGTGGGTAAAGCCATATGTAGTGGGTGAAATGATCGACAAAAATAACATAATATTTGAAATTGTCAGACGACAGAACAGGAGACGTCCATACATCAGAAAATATAATTTGCAAAGGAGTGGAAGAGACAAGTGTGGATTAAGAGAATGGTAATTTATGACTTTTATTGCAATAACAATCAGTACAATGAAAAGATGACGATAATGCAGACTCAAGACGTAACTTGTATTTTGAAACTAAATGCCTAAGAATAGACTTAGAAGGATGCCCTAAACGTTGATGCCAATTAGAAGGAAAGGCCTTGGCACTAGAAAACGCAATGGTAGAGTTGGAAGGTTTGGTCGACCACTCATAAACGCCATCTTTAGTTCGACCGTGAAGAAGAATTGCCCCCATCTGCAGATCCTTCACACGAAAAGAATTAGGTAAGAACTCAACAGAAGTTTTATTTGTTTTGCAAAATTGAGATATAGAAATAAGATTTCTTTTCATGTTAGGAACACATAAAACATTCTGGAAGGTAAATGAATGAGGGGAGTGGGATAAGGAAGTGGAGCCGGAATGAGTAATATGTAACCCAGTACCATCACCGATGACAATGTCATCTGGACCATCATATGGAGCATGAAGCGACAGATTGTTGAGGTCAGTTGTGA